ATTTTTTCATCCGAAAAAAGAATTTCCCGATATTTTTTTCCCGCGTACCGCTTCAACAAAGCGCGGCATCTCTTCAGTCTCAGGTCCATTAGACGAGCATTCAAACGATGTCCTGTTTTTCTTCGATATGCCCGAAGCCCTAAGTCTTCATTTAACACCCTTTTCACCGTGGTTCTGCTTAACCCCATCTGAAGGGCCAACAGTTTCTGCTTACGTTTGGGATTTCTTTGAATTCGCGCCTTCACAGCTTTTATCACTGCTGGAGTCCTAATAGACCGAGGGCGACCACTTCTTGACCTGTCGTCTACACTACAGTCTTCATTGTATCGTTTGATGGTACGATAAACGAATCTTTTGGTTATATTCAAATTTTTCAGTATGTTAAAAATTTGAATTGGCGCGTAACCGCAACGATGCAACGCAATAACTGCAACACGATCTTCTTTATGCGTCCACTCCATATTTAAAAATGAGTAAAATTTTAAAAGTATACATTTTTATTTTCATGAACAATTCGAAATTCGAATTCAATAAACTTTTTTGTGGCCAGCATTCTAAAAGAAAAGTTTTTGCTGTGTGACAATACTTATGACCTGACTAGTTATAAAAATGAATTGCTGTTCGTTAGTCTCGCTAAAACTCGAGAACGGCTGGACCGATTTGGCTAATTTTGGTCTTGAATTATTCGTGGAAGTCCAGAGAAGATTTAAAAGGTAGATATAAATATAAAAATGCTCGGAATTAAATAAAAATAACAATTTTGTTTTCCTTTGATGTGTCCCCCGTCGGACGGATTCCTTTTGTTTGTTTTAAGTTTATTTTATACAAAACTTTAGGTCTTTTATTTATCGATTGAGGCACTAACAAGTCTGCCGGGTCAGCTAGTTCATAATACAATCGAACTTTACTACGAAAATGAATAAAACGAGGAGATAAATACAAGGAAAAGGATGCCGTTCAATTCCTTTAAAATTTAATTAAAGTATTTCTGTAATGACTCATTTCGTGAATCATTAAACCTAACAACAAAATTCAACTGGGTGCTTTTTCTTCTATTTTTTAAGTGTGACATTTATTTCCTGTGACGATAATGTTGCCAATGTTTTCGGATTTATAAAAAAACACGTGTGGCACTCTGGGACTGGCGCGGTAAGGCTACTGCTTAGCATTTTTTATCGTCCTCGTCGAACCCGTCACTTGCGACGAAGGGCTCGAAGAGTAAATTAACCGACAGACAGCCCACTGAGTTTCTCGCCGGATCTTCTCAGTGGGTCGCGTTTCCGATCCGGTGGTAGATTCTGCGAAGAACTGCTCTTGCTTGGGTTAATGTAAGCAACGTCATCAGATTTGGGCTCCGTGAGCTCACTTACTTGTTAGGTTACGCTGATATAGCCTATTAAGGCTATCAGCTTAAGAAGGATAAAAAATAAATAACATTGATCGAGTAGTTAAAAAAACTCGAACTAAGCACAGCGACATTACCCATTACCCGACTAATTATGATAGTAATCAGTCCCTATTTAAATATCGTTAGAAAACTTATATATTTCATTTTGACGGTATAAAGGAAAAACACCACATGCTACCAATATACTAGAAAAATTTTCGCTGCTCACGGTGAATAAACGTCCTGCGAATCGAGTAACTAGTGTCTACTCGCACTCATAGTGAAGAACTTACACTCAATTTACGCAGTGGTTAAGTCATTCGATTCATTTTATGAAACTTTTATAAAACTTTTACTGGTGGTAGGACCTCTTGTGAGTCCGCACGGGTAGGTACCACCACCCCGCCTATTTCTGCCGTGAAGCAGTAATGCATTTCGGTTTGAAGGGTGGGGCAGCCGTTGTAACTATACTGAGACCTTAGAACCATATCTCAAGGTGGGTGGCGCATTTACGCTGTAGATGTCTATGGGTTCCAGTAACCACTTAACACCAGGTGGGCTGTGAGCTCGTCCACACATCTCTGCAATAAAAAAATAAATAAAAAAAACTCGCAGCACTCAGATTACTAAAACAAAACAAATCTACTGCCAAATCTCGCAAGATTCAGAGGCTCGCAGAAAAGCAATACTATCGGACTTCACGTTACCGTGAAGTCTGCAATAATATATCAGAGTCCCTCTGACAATTAACTGGTAATAAAGTAAACGATATTACAAATTTTTAAGTTTATCATAGCAAAGAACAATAGCGCGATTCAGAAATACATACAGCGCTATCTATTGATAACAAAGAACACTAATATCCAATGACAGTCTCACATTATATGCATGGCCGGCATGTCATATGGATGGAGAAAGGTGCATTTAGATCATATCTCGCTTCTTCAACATTGGGTACCACCACCCTACCTATTTCTGCCGTGAAGCAGTAATGCGTTTCGGTTTGAAGGGTGGGGCAGCCGTTGTAACTAATACTTGAGACCTTAGAACTTCTATCTCAAGGTGGGTGGCGCATTATCGTTGTGGATGTCTATGGGCTCCACATGGCTGTGTGCTCGTCCACCCATCTAAGCAATAAAAAAAAAATCTTCTTTAGGTTCGTCCACCGATAACCGGTCATGCCGAAGGTCGGTATTTTCTTCACACGATAAGGTCTCCAATTGTCAAGCTAGGCTGGTTTTTGTTATCCGTACCGATTTCATATAGGAATTAATTAATTAATTCAACTGTTTTTTTTGGTGTGTTAATATAGAGTTAGCTCAAAACTTTTGTGTGGGTGAATCTATTTAGATTTTATTAAATTTACAGCTGATGCTTCTCGTGTCCCGTCTGGCGGTCACCCTTATCAATATTCGACCAGTAGTATTTGAGTTGTCCTTAACAGTCCATATTTAATTGTCTTTGATTACATTGATGACGTACCCGTTAAGTTTGTTACATCCAGTTTTTATTTTTGTTAAAAGAAATTGTTTATATGTTATTCACGGAGCCTTAGCACAACGGTTTGATATACAAACTGTATTAGATGGGTGTGCCGGACAGACTCGTGCTCATCATACGAGACTATTTGTCGAACCGTTCGTTCCGATATCGAATTGAGGGAACGCGCTCTCGCCTCCGTCACGTAACAGCCGGAGTCCCGCAAGGCTCCGAGCTCTCCCCGTTACTGCTTAGTTTGTATATCAACGATATACCCCGGTCTCCGGAGACCCATCTAGCGCTCTCCGCCGATGACAACTACTAATCGAGTAGGAAGAAGTTGTCGCATCGGCGACTCCAGACCGCAGCTACCACCATGGGACAGTGGTTCCGGAAGTGGCGCATCGACATCAATCCCACGAAAAGCATAGCGGTACTGTTCAAAAGGGGTCGCCCTCCGAACACCACTTCGAGCATCCCACTCCCGACTAGGCGCGTCAACACCTCCGCCATTCGCTCCATCACTTTATTCGACCAACCCATACCGTGGGCCTCGAAGTTCTTATACCTAGGTCTCACCCTCAAAAGAGGGTTGACATTCTGCCCCCACATTAAATCGGTACGCGACCGTGTTTCGTACATACTAGAACCACAGATTATTAAAAATATAAAACTAGAACGCCTCTATCCGATGATTTGCAAGCGCAGTAAATTGTCCCTTAGAAATAAGGTGACACTCTACAAAACTTGCATACGCCCCGTCATTACCTATGCAAATGTGGTGTTCGCTCACGCGGCCCGCACTAACTTGAGACCCCTTCAAAACATAAAATTTTTGCAGGATAGCCGTCAGAGCACCGTGGTACATGAGAAACGTGGACCTCCACGACGACTTGGATGTAGAGTCCATCAGTAAGTATCTACAATCGGCATCTATGCACCATTCTGAGAAAGCGGCACGACACGAAAACCCTCTCATCGTGGCCGCCGGAAACTACATTCCCGATCCTGCGGACCGAAAGGTAAACAGTCGACGTCTCCTAAAACGCGTCATTTCGGATCTTCCCGATCCACTAACGGTGCTTTTAGGTACCTCAAGCACCGGTCATCGTTCTCGTCGAACTCGTCGCTTGCGACGAAGGGCTCGGCGAGTAAATTAACCCACAGACACAGCCCACTGAGTTCCTGGCCGGATCTTCTCAGTGGATCGCGTTTCCGATCCGGTGGTAGATTCTGGGAAGAACTGCTCTTGCTTGGGTTAATGTTAGCAACGTCTTTAGATTTGAGCCCCTTCAGCTCACCTAGTTGTTAGGTTACGCTGATATAGCCTCTCAAGGCTATCAGCTTAGGAAGGATAAAAAAAAGATAACATTGATCGAGTAGTTAAAAAAACTCGAACTAAGCACAGTGACATTACCATTACCCGACTAATTATGATAGTGACCAGTCCCTATTTAAATATCGTTAGAAAGCTTGATATATATTTCATTTTGACAGTCTAAAGCAAAAACAGACTTTTTGGCGGGAACGCGAGGAGTGAAATTGTGTGATTTGTCTTATTTTGTCTATTTAGTGTTTCTTCAGGTTTAAATGTGTAATAACGGTGGTTTATTGTTTAATATCTGTGAAAGTGCTCAAACGTGGGAAAATGAAACAAAGCCGCTGGACGTAACTTCTTGGGATCCTCCAAAAAGTCCACTGAAAAAATCTCAGTAAATGATCACCATTTTACTGAGATTCTACATTTCATCCTATATCATCTCGTTTCATTTCATTTCAAAATAAGAATATAAATTAAAATAAGACATGACTTAAAGGTCTTAGTTACCAAGTCACACAATTTCTTAAAAAATATGACAAAACCTCGTAAGTCTATGATTCAGAGGCTAACAGAAAACTTTCTCTTTAAAGTAAAAACAAAAACACTCACCGCCCAATATCTGGCCGTCCAAACTCGGCGCCATTAAAGCAAAAATTAACAACAAACACAACACAACCGCCATTTTGTTTCAATACAAACTAGAAAATCAACTTAAAAATGTTGAAGGAACATGTATTTTGAATTTAGAACCACGCCGTTGCGCCACGGCGACCAAACTGTATGAAATCTACGTCAGACCGCGAGACATTCTCCTTGACTGACTGAGCGCGTTTGACATTTGCTATGTTGCAGACTTCTCCGATTATATTCGCAGTCGAATTTAAGCCCTAACCATCTGGAAATACGAATCAAATTTTATTAACGGGGTCAAGGATGTAACTTAAAAAATTCAAATTTAAAAGAACCATACCGGAATTATTCGGAATGTTTTAAAATTTTATATATAATTTAAATGAAAATGTGTTTTATTCGGTTTGAGGTAGAGTAGAAATTGTATTGTTTTTAAATAATATTTTTAGGTGGACATGTAATTTAAGGATCCAAGAAATGGAACGTGATTGTGTTTTGAATTAAATTTTAATGCTTACGTAATACGGTTTAAATTTGTTTTTGAAGATTTAATCGGCTAAAGAATATGCAATGATGAATAATACATTTATTTATTCATTAGTAATACCGGTTGTAATGAAAATCAAAAAGTGAATTTTCAAACAAATTTTGTTTTGTATTTTTTTTATTGCCCTTGTAGGCAGACGAGCATGCGTCCCACCTTGTGGTGAGTGGTGGCCGTCGCCCGTGGACATCAGCAATGCCAGGGGCAGAGCCAAGCCGCTGCCTACCGCTTAATACTCTCCACAAGCCTCTTTTAAAGAAGGACATGTCATAGCGCATAACTTACCACAAAAATAGAATTTTTTTTTTTACTGAATTAAACCAAGGTGGGTGGCGCGTCTACGTTGTAGATGTCTATGGGCTCCAGTAACCATTTAACATCAGGTGGGCTGTAAGCTCGTCCACCCATCTAAGCAATAAAAAAAAAAAAAAGCGTAGAATGTACCTACATTTATGTACCTACATTTCTACCGAATTCGCGGAAAGTCAAAAATATTAAAATACTAGACTAGTACCCGTCATCTTCGCAGGGCATTTAAAATTAACATTATTATTTCTCACCCCCACAAAGATTCTCAACATTAACGCCCCCGCCACCAGTGTAGGGAGTCCAACACTCATATAAATATTAGCCTATCCATTAAGTACATATGTATTTTCTACATGGATACCGAGTTTCAAGTCTTGACTCGAGTCTAGATATTCGAGTCAATACTCGAATACCTAAACGGTACTCGATTACTGACCGGGCTTGAATCGCCCAATCGAGTCATGATTCGAATACCGCGTAAACTGCATCGAGTCGACTCGATGACTCGATCCCCTAAAACATCGAACTCGACAGTCGGTACTCGGCAGATTGCTGTACACTGTATGTAATTTAGGGATGTAAAAACCGGTTCGAAGATAACGAGAGAAAAACCGGTTTTTATAGATACCGATAAACACCTGTTTTTATTTAAGAATATCGGTTTTTAATTACGCGTTACATTCACAGTTCCCATCAGTGTTACCATATTTTTTTTATTGCTTAGATGGGTGGACGAGCTCACAGCCCACCTGTTGTTTAGTGGTTACTGGAGCACATAGACATCCACAACGTCAATGCGCCACCCACCTTGAGATATAAGTTCTAAGGTCTCAAGTAAGTTCCAACGGCTGCCCCACCCTTCAAACCGAAACGCATTATTGCTTCACGGCAGAAATAGGCTGGGTGGTGGTACCCACCCGCGCGTATTCACAAGAGGTCCTACCACCAGTGATTACGCAAATTATAATTTTGCGGGTTTCATTTTTATTACACGATGTTATTCCTTCACCGTGGAAATCAATCGTGAACATTTGTTGAGTACGTATTTCATTAGAAAAATTGGTACCCGTCTGAGATTCGAACACCGGCATTGTTCAACACGAATGCACTGGACGTCTTATCTGTTAGGCCACGACGACTTCAAATTATACCAGATCAAACTGTACAAACTACCGTGCTGCTAGATAAAAAATACCGTGTTTCAGACTCAAATTACCGTGCATTACATTTAAAAACTACAGTGCTTTTTTTTTTCCTACCTAAGCCGATAGCCTTGAGAGGCTATATCAGCGACGCCTTAACTAGTAGGTGAGCTCACGGGGCTCAAGCCTGACGACGTTACTAACACGAACCCTAGCAAGAGCCGTGCTTCGCAGAATCTACCACCGGATCGGAAACGCGACCCACTGAGAAGATCCGGCGAGAAACTCAGTGGGCTGTGTCTGAGGGTTAATTTACTCGTCGAGCCCTTCGTCGCAAGCGACGGGTTCGACGAGAACGATGACCGGTGCTTGAGGTACCTAAAAGCACCGTTAGTGGANGCGATGTAATTTTGTTAGCCTGTGACATCTATTGACGACATTTGTCAACTGTTGGATTTATAACTTAACAATATTTTAATGGTTTGCAATATAAACCTCATATTTAATAATAATTCTTAATATGTACAGGACTCTATATAATCATATAAATAATCAGAAACCTTACACTCTATATAATCATATTAATATAAATAATCATAAACCTTACATTAGATGGGTGGACGAGCTCACAGCCCACCTGTTGTTTAGTGGTTACTGGAGCACATAGACATCCACAACGTAAATGTGCCACCCACCTTGAGATATAAGTTCTAAGGTCTCAAGTAAGTTACAACGGCTGCCCCACCCTTCAAACCGAAACGCATTATTACTTCACGGCAGAAATAGGCAGGGTGGTGGTACCCACCCGCGCGTATTCACAAGAGGTCCTACCACCAGTGATTACGCAAATTATAATTTTGCGGTTTTCATTTTTATTACACAATGTTATTCCTTCACGGTGGAAGTCAATCGTGAACATTTGTTGAGTACGTATTACATTAGAAAAATTGGCACCCGCCTGAGATTCGAACACCGGTGCATTGTTCAACACGAATGCACTGGGCGTCTTATCTGTTAGGCCACGACGACTTCAAATTATACCAGATCAAACTGTACAAACTACCGTGCTGCTAGATAAAAAATACCGTGTTTCAGACTCAAATTACCGTGCATTACATTTAAAAACTACAGTGCTTTTTTTTTTCCTACCTAAGCTGATAGCCTTGAGAGGCTATATCAGCGACGCCTTAACTAGTAGGTGAGTTCACGGGGCTCAAGCCTGATGACGTTGCTAACACGAACCCTAGCAAGAGCCGTGCTTCGCAGAATCTACCACCGGATCGGAAACGCGACCCACTGAGAAGATCCGGCGAGAAACTCAGTGGGCTGTGTCTGAGGGTTAATTTACTCGTCGAGCCCTTCGTCGCAAGCGACGGGTTCGACGAGAACGATGACCGGTGCTTGAGGTACCTAAAAGCATCGTTAGTGAATCGGGAGGATCCGAAATGACGTGCTTGGGGCGACGTCGACTGCTTTCCATTCTGTCCGCAGGATCGGGAATGTAGTTACCGGCGTCCACGATAAGAGGGTTCTCGTGTCGTGCCGCTTTATCGAAGTGGCGCATCGACGCCGACTGAAGATACTTATTGATGGACTGGTGAGGCGGTGCACTTGATGGACGCACGAGTGTTTGGCGCGGAACCCAAACTGCTCGTCGATCAATATTTTATTGGACGCGACGAAGTCCCCGAGGCGTTTACGAAGGAGTCGTTCGTATAGCTTGCCTATCGCCGGGAGGAGACTGATGGGGCGGTAACTCGCGGTTTCGTTCTTCGGTTTGCCCGGCTTGTGTATGCCGATAACGTCAGCTTCTTTCTACGCCGCGGTAAAGATGCAGTTCGTCATAGCAGCACTTAAGATGGTGGCCAACATTGTTATCAGTTGGGCTGGTAACATTTTTAGCGTGCAATTGCGGATGCCGTCGGAGCCTGGAACTTTCCGTGGTTGTAGGTTAGCGATCGCCTCCTCAACCTCGGAAGTGGTAATGGGGGGTAACGCGTCCGAGGGCCCCCTGTCGACTAACTCGGTGTGTTCGGGGTCCGCGTATTGAGTGGTGCTGGTGGTGCACTGCTCTTGCAGTGCATCGACCAGCAGCTCTGCCTTGTCATCGTCATCGTAAGCCGGTGGTTGGCCTGAGGGGCGTACTAGAGGCGGCATAGTGACGATAGTTTCGGACTTGAGGGTTCTAGCTAGTCGCCAGTATGCTTGGTGAGTGGGCGCGAGTTCTTCTAGGTAACTATCCCATTTCTCATTTCGGGCGTCGCTTAGGCGGGATATGACCTCCCGCTGTAGACGACGCATCCGAATCCGGTTTGAAACCGTGGGATATAGATCGTAGGCCCGGATTGCCGCGTTCCTAACTCTTTAGAGATCCCTAAGCTCGGGGGAAAGTCTTAATGCGGTGGAAAGTGGAAGCCGTCCTCCACATCGACTTGTTTAGAAGACCTTATGATCGCGGTCGAGACGTGCGTAAAGATGTTTATGGATTCGACTGTGTCCTCGAGGGATGGAGTTGAATTCGGGCCGCAGGGGAGGATTGGTGGAGCGGCATTAGCTAATCACGTGACTACAGTGCAATTACCATGTAAAATATAAGAAAAAACTAAAACAAAGACCAATAGCGCGATTCAGAAGTACACACAGCGCCATCTATTGATAACAAAGAACACTAATATCCAATGACCGACTTGCATCAAATGGATGACCGGCATGTCATACGGATACAGACAGGTGCAGGTAGACCATGGATATAGATTGTCTATGGATGTGAATATTCTATGAGCCCATTAACCACTACTTCTATTACTCGTTCAAGCGTCTATGCAACAAAATAAACCGCATCCAGAGCATTTCGACTAGCATAGAACTGCTAAGTTGAATAGGACCTAAGTTTTGTACGGAGTAAGTTCATAGTCGGCTGGCAGCGAGCGAACTAACACACTGAGTTTATTGTTGGATCTTCTCAGTGGGTCGCGATTCGGAACAGGTGGTAGACCTAAGCAATGAAAAAAAAAATTTAGTACATTGTGTTAAGTTTGTTGTTTACTTAAGGTCCGGGAGCACTCTACGGTGGGTATTTGAAGTAGAGTGATTAATTAGTCAATATTAAGTTATTGGTATACAAAAATGCATACTCTTAGTGGGCCTAAATCCTTCTCGTGCAACCTTGTCCACTAACACGATCCACTGAGTTTCTCATCGGATCTTCTGAGTGGGCCGCAATTCCGATCCGGTGGTAGATTCAGCGAAGCTGCTAGTTTTATAGGTGAATAGGTGATCTCACAGTCCTCTTGGTATCAAGTGGATACCGGAGTCAATATACGACGTAAAAGCCACCACCCATATTGAGACCTGATAGAGTCTATATCTCAATTATTTCATAATTACGCATATTATTAAAAATATGTGGTTTGTTAAAACTATGGGCGTCAATTTTCACTAAAGCCATTAGGGCCGTGATTTCATCCACTAAGTAGCCTTCTATGCAATAAATTAATAAGGTTAATTGGAATTATTTTAATTAAAAATGTATGTTGTTATTGTTACGCGCTGAGGTTCGGGATAAATAAAATTTCACCAAAGTAGTTATACTAACTGAAAACTGTATTCAACACTTAGAACACTTAAAACACTCAACAGACACATTAAAGTTCTCAATTCGCTTCTTCCGTTTCGCTTCAGGCGATCGGTTCGCAGTTTCGCTTCGAGTAGTTCCAATTACTAACTAACTGCGTGCCATCCCTGCAGCGCTTTTATATTCGATACCACATCCCTAGAATTATCGAGAATATTCCACACATATCTAGTATTGTGTTTCCGCTATCTCACAACAGATGGCGTTGTACTTCTCGAGCGTTATAGGTGCTACTAGATCCTTCGATATTCGTTCGACTGTTCGGCGATAGATGGCGTTACTCTTACCGGCGTAACATTATTATACAAGTTGTGTTCAATAATGTATTCACTTTTTTTCTATTTCAGTTAAATGTCAATGTGTGTAGACTTTATACAGTTGTGTGAATCAATGAAATAAATAAATAAATAAACATAAAAAAGGCGGAAACCTCCTATTGCCAATTTTTTTTTCTTCATCTCCTCAGAATTCTTATCGCGTTTTCTCCGATTTTCGTGTGTTTGAAGACTGAAGTCGTCGTGGCCTAACGGATAAGACGTCCGGTGCATTCGTGTTGAACAATGCACCGGTGTTCGAATCTCAGGCGGGTACCAATTTTTCTAATGAAATACGTACTCAACAAATGTTCACGATTGATTTCCACGGTGAAGGAATAACACCGTGTAATAAAAATGAAACCCGCAAAATTATAATTTGCGTAATTACTGGTGGTAGGACCTCTTGTGAGTCCGGGCGGGTGGGTACTACCGCCCTGCCTATTTCTGCCGTGAAGCAGTAATGCGTTTCGGTTTGAAGGGTGGGGCAGCCGTTGTAACTATACGTGAGACCTAAGAACTTATATCTCAAGGTGGGTGGCGCATTTACGTTGTAGATCTCTATGGGCTCCAGTAACCACTTAACACCAGGTGGGCTGTGAGCTCGTCCACCCATCTAAGCAATAAAAAAAAAAGACAATTAAAACTAATTTTAGGGTTTGATTGATTTTAATTTATTGTCGGTATATTATTTCATACGCTTCGAATACTTTACCTACAGTTTTCATGATCACAAACGCGCACACAGTCACAGACACACACACACACGACTTAATCCTGATTCTAAAATGATTATAATCGATTTTTTTTAATTATAATAAACCACTTTACCTTTAGTCGACACACAACGCTGCGTCGCTAAAGTACCTAAGTAGCGTGTTTTTTTTTGGGTTATTTGAGTCGTCTATTATCAAAGGTGGCAATCTGTGCATTTGGAGAAAAAAATGTTATTGATATGTCAATACAGATTGATTTGAATATAATCGTCTCCTTCAAAGAATACGGTTCAAAACCTGCATTAAATAAAGGTTAATACTTAACCTGTTATTTATCTGTAATAAAGGTTAATACTTAACCTGTTATTTATCTGTAATAAAGGTTAATACTTAACCTGTTATTTATCTGTAATAAAGGTTAATACTTAACCTGTTATTTATCTGTAATAAAGGTTAATACTTAACCTGTTATTTATCTGTAATAAAGGTTAATACTTAACCTGTTATTTATCTGTAATAAAGGTTAATACTTAACCTGTTATTTATCTGTAATAAAGGTTAATACTTAACCTGTTATTTATCTGTAATAAAGGTTAATACTTAACCTGTTATTTATCTGTAATAAAGGTTAATACTTAACCTGTTATTTATCTGTAATAAAGGTTAATACTTAACCTGTTATTTATCTAAGATGTCGATCAGAAGAGTTTTGTGACTGCTAATGGAATTCAAAGTCAATAATTCGTTTTTTTGATTTACCAATAATTGTCCAAAAGTCACATTGCCGGCTTTGATAATAGTCGACTCATTTAAAGGAACATATATTTGTTTTCTTTTTTTAATTTCAATACAAATTTAAATTACATGTAAAATGGAAGAATCGTTTTTTTTTTCTTGTCTATAGTTGAAAAATATTAGGCTGTCATTACTCGGTCTTGGATGCAAATTTTTTTTAGGTAATACAACATTTTTTATGCTAGTCGAAATCACGATCAAAATTCGACATATAAGATTTGATTAATACGTGAAGCAAAAACTTTTCATCCCTTTTTACGTAAATTGCGCGGACGGAGGAGTATGAAATTTTCCACGCTTATAGAGAATATAGAGAAGAAGTGCACAATGCTAATATTTTTTTTTAAAATATTGCATAAAATATACATTAAATCAATAAAGAAAACATTGCACACACTACATACCATGTATTTGACGCATGCACGCATGCATACTATTTATTGTCAAACTTTTGTTCTTGAAGTCTGTGGTCAAATTGAGAATAGATTAAATATTGTTTGTCTTTATTAATATTTTTTTATACTGTAGCCTTGGCGAAATTTGTCATTATAGAAGTATAAAATACAATCATAATAGTGTACAAACTTACAATTCCAATTAATTATAGTCGAATTTCGACTACTGCGGGACCTCTAGTCTAAAGATTTGATTGATGAAAAACAAAGTAAAAAATAAAACACAAGAAATAAACAAAGGTTTTCTTCATAATAAAATTATTTCGATAACAATAATAAATTAGTGTAATACAATTTAAAGAGGAGATCAAAATGTTTCATTTCAAAAATATACAATCAAAATGGCAAGGAAAGCATTGGATTAGGGGCTGTTTTAATAGAGGCTAATTGACAATGTCAATGACATCATCAACAATCGCTAAAGTCGCCGTGGACTAAACGATAAGGCATCCAGTGATTTATGTCGATGCTACCGTGTCAGTGTTCGAATCCCGCAGGCAGGTATAAATTATTTCTACTGAAATTTGTACTTGACTCAAGTTCAGGAATGACTTCCGAAAAAAAATATTTTACTGGTGGTAACGCGTAATATGAGCCCCTATGAGCAGTGGTATTTACGTTGTGATGTCTATGAACTCCCGTAACTGGAGTTGCCGATCTGTAAGCTTTTTCATCCTTCTTTCTTACTTTTTTTAAGCTCACAGCCCACCTGGTGTTTTTATTTTTATTTTTATTGCCCTTGTAGGCAGACGAGCATACGGCCCACCTGATGGTGAGTGCTTACCGTCGCCCATGGATTTCAGCAATGCCAGGGGCAGAGGCAAGTCGCTGCTAAGTGGCTAAGGCGTTAAGTGGTTACTGGAGCCCATAGACATCTACTATATAAGTTCTAAGGTCTCAGCATAGTTACAACGGCTGCCCCACCCTTCAAACCGAAACGCATTCCTGCTTCACGGCAGAAATAGGCAGGGTGGTGGTACCTACCCGTGCGGACTCACAAGGGGTCCTACCACCATTTATTTATGTCGCTAATCAGTCATGCGACCAGCTATTTAGTGTCTAATTGAATAGCTCTCACAATAATAAAAAGAAATCTTGTATTTAAGAGCATACATGAGAATGTTCTGATCGTATACAAAGAGTGTATATCAATATTTGTCCACAATAAGAAATTACGCGTCATATCTTATCAACATCTTTTGTGTCCACCCTGAAGCCACAATGAACGATTGCTTCACGACAGAACAGAAGTAGAAGTTGGACTTCTGTAGGTGCCGCATCAATCAGAAGTCAATGTAGTTGATCGAGGCTATAACTCCTCGTATCCAGTTGGCTGTCACTTTGACGTTGTGGTAGATGCCGGGCTGATGGTCCACACCGCAGCCGAAGCCCGCCGAAGTGATCCCCACAAGGTAATACCTTCCGTTGTCGAGGACTATGAGGGGTCCGCCTGAGTCACCTGCAATTGTGGTATGTTAGGAGAATGAGAGTGCAGCTAAACGAAGCTGGTGATTCTTGACGAGATAAATCTTGGAAGCGTCCATTCTCTAATCTCCCATTATGAAGATCTGCCAATCTTCTAGCAAATCTGATTTTTTTGGGTGGACGAGCTCACAGCCCACCTGGTGTTAAGTGGTTACTGGAGCCCATACACATCTACAACGTAAATGCGCCACGCACCTTGAGATATAAGTTCTAAGGTCTCAAGTTAGTTACAACGGCTGCCCCAGCCTTCAAACCGAAATGTATCACTGCTTCACGGCAGAAATAGACAGGGTGGTGGTACCTACCCGCGCGGTCTCACAAGATATCCTACCACCAGTAAGGTAAATTATTTGTATGCATTTAACATGTGGATATAGTCCGCATTAAGGGAATTAGTTGTGGAACCAGGAAATCGGAGGAAGGGGCGAATGTTTAACAGGGTGCGAGTAAGTTCCACGGGAGACGCCGTGAGAAGATGTTCGAGGCAGTCCCGTCGTCTCCATGCTACCATCGCAACCCCGCCACCGAAATAGAATCGATACGTGAAACCGTTGCGTTAATCCGCAATGCGTTTCCAGATATCATTGCTGCATCTGATTTTGGGATGAACGTCAGTTGATGTGTTCATGACTGTGTTCAGCATCACTGCCAGTGTGGCAACATTGTCGACCGCTTTCGTTACCACGGGCTCTCATTCGCGAAAAACGCTGGCAGAATATCCTGCCACGCCAGCATAAATGACATCATCGAGGCCTCGGGAGACCAGAAGGCCGCTACGTATTTTGCACAAAGAATTAGCATTGCTAACCAGCGTGGAAATGCTGCCAACTGGCGGTGAGCTAACACAGATTCTCTATTTATAAGAAGCTTTTTACCTACATAATTATTATATAATATTTTGATAATACTTATTTAATTTCTTCTTTGAGTGAATTTGGACACGAGGCGTCAGCGGTGCCCGGGTTGGGTGCTATGTTCATAAGTACCGAAGCCCCTAATGCCTTCGTGGCCATAAATAACCGACTTCACATTTATTACCTAAACATGCGTCTTGGTGTCCATCAGAATGCCCGGCGCATATCATCTCTGAATGTATCTCGACTGATATCTGCTTGCTCTGGTGCCAGCTGATGCACTGCTCTTTGCCTGTGATAAAAGATTTGATAAAGTATTGAGAATACAAAGACTATTTTTTAATTAATTTAAAAAAGGAGGTTCCCATTTCTACTGTAGTTTTTTTTAATGTGTTACCAGAAGAAGATCTAGTTCACAATCTAGAACAGCTGATGGTGACAGGAAAGGTAGATGGCAAACGTCCCGGAGGACGCGGTCCCACGAGATGTTCGGTCCAAATACGATCTTCTCTAAACATCAACTTCCACAATGCCCTTCATGAAGCTAAGGATCGCAGCACATGGAGGGAAGTCGTACGGGAGAAACTGATGCAGCGGGAGTCACGACCCTCAGTAATGAGGAAAACGACGCGAGGAGGAGGACCAGAAGAAGAAGGTCCAGAGGTAGAAGGCGAATGTACTGGTCGGACCTGATACGCTCTACTCTCAACACTTCAATTCATGTTGCCATCCACTCAGCCGAGGATAGGCAGGAGTGGCGCTGGATAATCCAGAGTTATTAGAGGAGGCCACAACCCTCAGCGTTGAGCATTATCGACGCAAAGAGAAGGACCCCTCAGAACTTTTTTCAGGTTGACCGATTTTGACGATTTTTTATTATTATTATTATTTGAAAACTGTTTCTTCTACTGCGGTCTCATTTATACAGTGCATTTTTACAGATCTTTTTGACTTTGAATAATATCCGTACGTGGAATGAACTGCTTTATATGGTGTTTTCATTTACCATTCAGTGAGCCAGACCAGGGAAATGAACAAGACGCTTTTTTTCCCATAGGACTCTTCTTATAAGACTATCGACTAACATCAAGAACCATTAATAAGAGCGATGATCGGCCTTAGAACCTGAGCTGTTTTTTTTTATTGCCCTTGTAGGTAGACGAGCATACGCCCCACCTGATGGTAAGTGGTCGTTGCTCATGGACGTCAGCAATGCCAGGGGCAGAGCCAAGCCGCTGCCTACCGTTTAATACTATCCACAAGCCTCGTTTGAAGAAGGACATGTCATAGCGCTCGGGAAACACCGATATAGTATAACACCGAAACTCTTGTGTCGATAGGTATATATGTAAACGGTGTATATTTTGTTTATTGTATGTATATATTTTCTATAATTAATACGTGAAGCAAAAACTTTGTATCCCTTTTTACGAAAATTGCGCGGACGGAGGAGTATGAAATTTTCTACAATTATAGAGAACACATAGAAGAAGTGCACAATGTTAATATTTTTTTTTAATAATTCATAAAAGATACATTAAATCAATAAAGAAAACATTACACACACTACATACCATGTATTTGACGCACACACGCATGCATACTATTTATTGTCAAACTTTTGTTTTTGACGTCTGTGGTCAAATTGAGATTAATTATTGTTTGTCTTTGTTCATATTTTTTAGTGTAGTCTTGGCGAAATTTGTGATTATAGAAGTAATCTAAAGTAAAATACAATCATAATAGTGTACAAACTTACAATTCCAATTAATTATAGTCGAATTTCGACTACTGCGGGACCTCTAGTTTTCTATAATAATGCATTATCCATAGTACACCGCAACATACCTGCTATATTTTAATATTTTCCAGAATTTCTGTAACTTAAACGGTTATCTGGAAGATATCGCTTTTAGCGATGAGACCGCCTATTGTATTGTTTTTTGAATATAAATTGTGTTTTGGTGTGCAATAAAGTGTATTCTCTCTCTCTCTCTCTCTCTCTCTCTATAAGAAGCTCATCGAACTGTCCTTTCTGCCTACTGAAAAAATAACTCACTCAGTATAGGCACGGTGGCAGATCTTAACAGATTCGTTCCGGTGTGGCCATTACTCGTGTCCGTTTTTCCCCATCCTGCGATAACTCCCGACTTGCCTTTCAGTTGCAGGTCGTGATCAGGCAGGCAAATGGGCAGGATATGCGACATGTACGTGACGGGCTGGGAGAGCTTTAGCAAAGCTATGTCGTAGCGGTCCGGTTGGGTTATCCGGAATTGAAACAGAGGATGGAGGATCTTCCGAACGACCCTAAAATTTAATTAATACTATTAAACATTAAAATCAATCAATATCTTGATCAAAAGTATTTTGATAAAGAGACGTATGCATTTATAATATTATTATAAGTTTATACTTATTTGAAGTCGTCGTGGTGTAAAGGATAAGAGGTCCAGGTACCAATTTTTCTATTGAAATACGTACTCAACAAATGTTCACGATTGTCTTCCACGGTGAAGGAATAACATCGTGTAATAAAAATCAAACTCGCAAAATTATAATTTGCGTAATTACTGGTGGTAGGACCTCTTGAGAGTCCGCGCGGGTAGTTACCACCACCCTGCCCATTTCTGGCGTTAAGCAGTAATGCGTTTCGGTTTGAAGGGTGGGGCAGCCGTTGTAACTATACTGAGACCTTAGAACTTATATCTCAAGGTGGGTGGCGCATTTACGTTGTAGATGTCTATGGGCTCCAGTAACCACTTAACATCAGGTGGGCTGGGAGCTCGTCCACCCATCTAAGCAAAAAAAATAAAACAGGGTGGTTGGTACCCGAAATACAGAACCGATCAAAAGCAATAGGAGACGTATAGGCTTTTGCTCAACAATGAAAGATGGGCTTACCCAAGTTTCCGTGCAGTCTCGTCGCCAGCCGTGGTGTCGAGTGCTCCGAGCCATACAACGATGTCACGCGGCCGCGCTCTCGATACGCAGTGAGCCGCCGTCGCCACGTACCAACGGGACACTGAACCAAAACTAATAATAAGAAACTTTTTTATCGGGTAAGGGCCGAAAAGAAGGTGACTCGCTGTTTATGTGGGACTGGACGTTCCGCGCGCCCAAGGGATGGTATTTAGGACTCTACTCACTAAACAACTCCCCTGCACTTTTCACCCCACGTCCGATATCCGCCCGTGGTCAGAACCTGGTCAGAGTAGGGGGGTTCCCGCGGTAAACACTACAACCAGACACGCGGCCCACCCTGTGGACGCCCGACCCACGGATCGTCGAGGTGACCATCGACGACCAACGACTTCAGGCTCCGCGGTGACTAATAAGAAACCTAACCTAATTCTTGAAGCCTTTTTTTATTGCTTAGATGGGTGAACGAGCCCACCTGGTGTTAAGCGGTTACTGGAGCCCATAGACATCTACATCGTAAATGCGCCACCCACCTTGAGATATAAGTTCTAAGATCTCAAATGTGATTACAAGGGCTGCCCCACCCTTCAAACCGAAACGCATTACTGCTTCACGGCAGAAATAGGCAGGGTGGTGGTACCTACCCGTGCGGACTCACAAGAGATCCTACCACCAGTAAACCTTCTTACTTTTCGACACTCTTAAAAGCTGAGGCAGCTTAATACGAGCTGGCAACATACTATAGCAGTATTTACAAGTTGCCGTGGAAGATGCTAAACTAGGGAGGATGTCTTCTCACCCAAAACTCCTCCACATTGAAATTCGGATATCCTGACGTGAGCCTGCCACGGGAACTCGGCAAACCTCGCTTCGCGTCCTCCTATGATCCTCTTCTGTAGTATTCTTGATGAAGGTAGACCGCAGTCCATCTGTCAATTAATAGACTGTCCTGAATTCACGCGCATCTTTTTTTTCATTGATGCCGAAAGAGGCCCAGACAGTAAGTGGTAACGGGTAATGGATATTAGATTTGGGTTTGGCTGGTCGTAGATTAGAAGCTCTAAGCCTCTAAACATAAGGTTGGAAATACAAAATGTCACTTGTTTTAATGAGATTTTAAGATGTATTTGGTACTAATGTATCGCTTGGATTAGATTAGGTTATTATTCGTAGGTTAGGAAGAAATTGATCTAAAAAAATGGTGCTAATACTTGATAATTATTAATACCAAGGAATTTATAAATTAATATTTAGTTTAAAAGTCTTAAATAACTTAAAAACCGAATTAAATAATATTTTTATCTTCTTTTTTGGATTCTGTTGAAACCTGTTACAAGATTAGAGTGAAGTCATAAAATCGATGTACTATTGCCAATCCCAGATGCGTATGCCACTTTTGAAGTTAATCAAACGTCTTGAGTTCATTAAAAATGACTTTCAAAGATTTTGTTACACACAAACATGTAAACTTACGTAAATATATATATATACGGAGCTATTAAAAGCGTGTTATTATTATAAGAATTGTAACAATGTTGCAACATTAAATCGCAGATAATAGGTATGACGAACGCTACTTCAAAGAGTCTGGCTCGAAAAGGTTATTTTTTTAGAGAACCGAATTATACTACTGTTACGCCGGTAATAGTAACGCCATCTATCGCCGAATAGTCGAACGAATATCGAAGGATCTAGTAGCACCTAGAACGCTCGAGAAGTACAACGCCATCTATTGCCAGATAGCGAAAACAGTACTAGAGATGTGTGAAATATTCTCGATAATTCTAGGGATGAGGTATCGACTATAAAAGCGTTGCAGGAATGGCACGCAGTCAGTCAGTAATCCGAACTACTCGGAGGGAAACAGCGAACGGATCACCTGAAGCGAAGCGAAAAAAGGTGAAGTGTTTAAATGTTGTAAGTGCTGAATACAATTTTAAGCTGTACGTTGGTGAAATTTTATTTATCTCAAGCCCCAGCGCGTAACACTATTTTAGTACCTATGCTTTTTATTGGCTTGATGTGTATCGATGCAACTGTATGTTCAAAAGTGAATTTGACCCGTTTTAAAACGTCAGATTGTATTGAAGCTTAACACACTGATCTGGGATCTGCTTCAAAAACCAATAAATAATGTTTCAAAATCGGGGTATTTTTCCCTTTTGAGAGCTTCCGTTGCGTGCGCTGCGGAAAGGGTTAAAGTTTCGCTAAAATAATATATGAGAGAATTGTTCCCCTTTATAAGATCTAAAAAAAGTCCGCGACAGCATATATACTTAAATATTATATTAAGGTTGGCTCACTATAAAGTTTTTTATGTTATACAAATTTGTTCTAAAACAAGCTTTTTTTGTGAAGACGTTTTGATAAAGATGATATTAATCCTTATCCAAATAAATACGTTATTCATTACAACATCGAAACACCCAAATCACTTCAAAATAGGCTTTGTCAATTATAGATTTTTCTGGATTTCTCCAGGATCCCGTCACCTGATCTTGACGATTACAGGACCATTCGAGAAGTCTACCCTTTCGTACAAAAAAAAAGAAAAAATAATTATCAGAATCGGTTCAAGAATTCTCGAGAAATCGGTGTACATACATAGATAAAAAATTATAGTCGAATTGATAACTTCCACTTTTGAAGTTGGTTAAAAAGCGTGATTTTGGTACATTAAATAGCACCTTAACTTTCTATTTGGTTCTTTTTTAATGAGACTAGACATCAAACCTATCGCATGGCCAATTAGAAAAAAGAATATAAAAGCAAAAGTCAAAAATAAAAAAGACTATCGCCGACCGCACCGCACGCGCTGTACACACACAGGCCGCTTGTTTTTTCACATAAATATTTTCATGGACTCTTATTAATTTTCTATTATCCGAACTCTTACTGACGATCATATTCGTCGTTGCGCGAGTGGTATACCAGTTTTATGGACAAATAATTTAGAAGAGTGCTGTGTCAAGCGTCAGGCCAGCCACCGCCATTACGCGTCGTCCAGCCGTGACGTTGAATTCTGCAGCCTGGAAGAAACCAGCGACTGGTTGGCAGGTACGTCTACTCCTCATAACCTAGCCTCGGCCTGCCCCTCTTTTTGTGCATCTTTAGCGATACTCGCCCCCGCAAAAGCTTCCTTCAAAAATATTGAACCAGCGCACCGCCGTGGTGGAAAGTTTGTAAAGAGTTTTTCCCTGCTACTATTATTCAAAAAAATTTTCACTTTCTAAGTAAATGAAGAGGCGGGTAAAATTTAGCGTTATGCCAAAGTAACTATTCCACGCGGACGAAGTCGCGGGCAAAAGCCTATAAGGCTTTGTGTTCTGCTACCCACATTTTACAACATATAAATTTACTGCAATTTTTATTATATACCTGGGTAGCGTCATCGTCTACTCTCCTTCTGAAGACATTTGTTGGTACGACGCTTCGTTGAGGCACTTGGCGGAGCTTCGGAGGGGAAACTTTGTACTTCCAATCCGAGGACTGTATACTGAAAAGAGGCAGGTCGTGACGATTTAAAAAAAAACGATTGAAGTATTTACACGTACTGGTGCACTATGATCGTTAGCTGATATTTCAGTTAATTGGGGGTTTTAGTTCGACTCAGTATGGTGGAATTCTGTTTTTGGTATTGTTTAATTAAAGCCCACCCATAAAGAATAAAGAACCCATATATCTGTCTTAAAGGCCGAAAAATAATGGACTCTAAACAGCTTGTCAAACGTGAGCTCCATGGTCAAAATGGTAGATAGGATCTGGCTAATTTGCCTCTCTTGATTTATTAGAGCTTTCTTTTATCAGGGGTTAACCTGGAGAAGCTAATGGTGACTAGCCAGGTGAATAGAAGAAGATCACGAGGTAGAGACCCGAAACGTCGGACTGACCAGATCCGCACTACCCTCGACAGTCGACACCACAGTTCAAGATACTTAACACTCGGCGGCAGTTAGGAGCAAATGGCGTGGAATTATCCGGAATAAGCTCTTGTTGCAACGAGGTGATAACGACTCTCAAGTGGAAACCGAAGCGAGAAGAAGAAGAAGAAGCCTTGGCGTCGAGTGACAGTGTGGTTTTAGCCGGAGGACCACTCGACCCGAAACATGTCTGATAGTGACATGGTTTTACTGGTGGTAGGACCTCAGACCTTAGAACTTATATCTCAAGGAGGGTGGCGCATTTGCGTTGTAAATGTCTATGGGCTCCAGTAACCACTTAACTCCATGTAGGCTGTGAGCTCGTCGAACCACCTAAGCAATATAAAAAAGGTTGTATTAATCCGACCCCGAAAAAGATCCAAAATCGGCCGGTCATTCTATTCAACGTGACTTACGTTACGGACACTGCACTTGCACTGCGCCTTCATTTACGGTTTTAGTTCCGATTAAAACACTTTCACGGTTTAATGTTCTGTCTTTATTTTAGGGCCTTTATGAATTTATTAGGGCGCGACGTCTTCGAAGCGAGCGGTCATGAATTCGCTGCGTGATTTATAAATAGCATTGCTTTATTATTTATTATTTTATTTATTGCTTAGATGGGTGGACGAGCTCACAACCCACATTGTGTTAAGTGGTTACTGGAGCCCATAGACATCTACAACGTAAATGCGCCACCCATCTTAAGATATAAGTTCTAAGGTCTCAAGTATAGTTACAACGGCTGCACCACCCTCAAGCCGAAACGCATTACTGCTTCACGGCAGATATGGGCAGGGTGGTGGTACCTACCCGCGCGGACTCTCAAGAGGTCCTACCACCAGTAATAACGCAAATTATAATTTTGCGGGTTTGATTTTTATTACACGATGTTATTCCTTCACCGTGGAAGTCAATCGTGAACATTTGTTGAGTACGTATTTCATTAGAAAAACTGGTACCCGCCTGAGATTCGAACATCGGTGCATCGCTCAACACGAATGCACCGGACGTCTTATCCTGTAGACCACGACGACGTGGATAAAAAAAAGACGTTGTTCGATTACTGTTAAACTGGCGATAGTGCTCTTTTTTCCCTATCTCTGCTGATAGCCTTGAGAGGCTATTTCAGCTTCACCCTAACATATAAGTGAGCTCACGGGGCTCAAACCGGAAGTGTTGTTAACACTGGCCAGTGCTTCGCAGAATCTACCACCGGATCGGAAACGCGACCCACTGAGAAGATCCGGCGAGAAACTCAGTGGGCCGTGTCTCCTTCGTCGACAGGGACGGGTTCGACGAGGACGGTGATCGGTGCTTGTGGTACCTAAAAGCACCGTTAATGGATCGGGAGGATCCGCAATGACGTGTTTTGGGCGAAGTCGACTAGGCCTTATAGTAAGCTGGCATACGTGCGAAAGTCGTTAAACAATAAAGACAATTTGACCTTAAGTTTCAAGGTTAGCTCATTCAGTTATTTATGCGTTAAGTTAAGTGCTCTGAGGAATTATTCGAGATGATACCGGCATCTCGTTTTTACCATCGCACCGCCCGCCACCGGAGTAGAGTTCATCCATACTACCTGGAGCCACTGCGTTCATCCACAGTGCGTTTCCAGAGATCTCTTTTGCCACGTACCATCCGGCTATGGAATGAGCTCCCCTCCACGGTGTTTCCCGAGCGCTATGACATGTCATTCTTCAAACGAGGCTTGTGTAGAGTATTAAGCGGTAGGCAGCGGCTTGGCTCTGCCCTTGGCATTGCTGACGTTCATAAGCGACGGTAACCACTCACCATCAGGTGGGTCGTATGCTCGTCTGCCTATACGGCAATAAAAAAAAAGAGAGGCAAAATTGTGATGATCATTTGATACCAAGCGCATATGGAATACTTTAGGTCAGCATTTTCACCTGTTGTCGATATTATTGGTTCCAGGTGCTTCAACGGACGCGCAGCAAGAGAACAGCCAGCCGCTTCCACAGCCCCGGACCCCGGTGCCGCCTCGGAGCCAGCACGTAAGAGTCAACGTGCAAGGTCTGACCTCGGAACCGAGGATGCAAGTCGACGGGTACCCGAGGATCGAGGCCAAGACGCTGCTGGTTAGAACTAGAATAAGAAAGAACGACTTTTGAATTACTTTTAATGTAAAATAAGTTCTTAAAATACCACAGTGTAAGTGTACATTTTCTGCCGTGAAGCAGTAATGCGTTTCGGTTTGAAGAGTGGGGCAGCCGTTGTAATTATACTTGAGACCTTAGAACTTATATCTCAAGGTGGGTGGCGCATTTACGCTGTAGATGTCTATGGGCTCCAGTAACCACTTTTTTTTTTTATTGCTTAGATGGGTGGACGAGCTCACAGCCCACCCGGTGTTAAGTGGTTACTGGAGCCCATAGACATCCACAACGTAAATGCGCCACCCACCATGAGATATAAGTTCTAAGGTCTCAAGTTGTTGGAGATTCCGATTAGTCTTGTGCTTAATCGGTTTATTTTTTTTTTTTCTACCTATGCTATTAGCCTAGAGAGGCTATTCCAGCGGAACCTTAACTAGTAGGTGAGCTCACGGGGCTCAAACCTGACGACGATGCTAACACGAACCCTAGCAAGAGCCGTGCTTCGCAGAATCTACCACCGGATCGGAAACGCGACCCACTGAGAAGAACCGGCGGAAAACTCAGTGGGCTGTGTCTGAGGGTTAATTTACTCGTCGAGCCCTTCGTCGCAAGCGACGGGTTCAACGAGAACGGTGACCGGTGCTTGAAGTACCTAAAAGCACCGTTAGTGGATCGGGAGGTCCGAGATGACGTGACGATGTACAACATTTAGCGTCGGGTACTGTAAGTGTCTTTATCGTGGTATCGTGATCTTATACTGATATCTTGATGACGTCACTTGATTTTTTGTAGCTTAAGGCGCAAGATCATTGAGTAGCACCTATCATTGGTTCGACGCGGACAGCCTCACTGACTTACCTGGCTCGATAAATTTACTAAGCATCGCCGTGCCACTGTTTGACTTGAGAATTGAGATCGAAATCTCAACTGTATTGTGGAATTACCGATCCACTACCCATTTTTAGTGAGAAATTTTTATCTACACCCGTTGTATGTTTGATCAAGTATTCGCTATTACCATTATACTATACTCATTGTAAGATGATAGACTACTCACTCTCAACAGCGTTGCTCTGCCCGCCAACATTTAAAACGATCAAAGGTATCAGCCATTTTGTGCTCAGTCGCCATCTTGCGTTCCGTCTCGTGCGACGCCATCTTGTTTTCCGATTTGAACTCTTCTTACATTTATTTGCACCGTATTCATTCTTTGTACTTTTTATCCATTTTTCTTTGTCCGTCCGTACACTTCTCACCGTTGACATGGCTCCTGTATCACTTTATATTGTTCGGACATATCGTGGGTGGTAAAGTCGCTTTCCTCGTTAATTGTTTTTTTTTTAAATCTGTAATGAAATCATGACGCGTCATTTTTTTGTAAACGTAAATATTGCTATGTAGGAAGTAACACACGTATTTTAATTTAATGTTTTATTTATGGTTTGTCATTTTTTATGTGACGAGGGAAACCAAGGTTCAAAACTAGCTTACAAACGCGTCACGCCCGACTGCTTATGTAATTAAAATATATTTTGGATATTTGTAAAGCGCTAGTAGTCGATCTGAATTCTGAGTTGGAATCACTTTAGTATGAAACCTATGGAAATGAAACGTCAGCAAAAAATGCGTGCCACTGTGACGTCATCTAAACATGGCCGCTAAACATGGCGGTTTTAGTGCTGCCCAGAAGATTTTAATGTTGATCCTCAGCAGCTGCGGGATATNTGTAATTAAAATATATTTTGGATATTTGTAAAGCGCTAGTAGTCGATCTGAATTCTGAGTTGGAATCACTTTAGTATGAAACCTATGGAAATGAAACGTCAGCAAAAAATGCGTGCCACTGTGACGTCATCTAAACATGGCCGCTAAACATGGCGGTTTTAGTGCTGCCCAGAAGATTTTAATGTTGATCCTCAGCAGCTGCGGGATATTGTCTCCGGGCTGTTCCCGCGGATGGAGAGGGACTTCGAGCCCCCCTTCATGGGCGTGCCGCCACGCAATGACGTGAGCGGTGATGCCCCTGCTGAGGCGGTCCCACCGAGCATCTCGGAAGAGGAGATTCGTGCGGCCGTGTCGAGGATGCGGAGGAAGGACGCGGCCCCCGGCCCTGACAGTGTTCACGGTCGGGTTTGGGATTTGGCCTTCGGTGCCCTTGGGGACCGGCTCGTGCGGCTCTTTGAAGCCTGCCTCGAGTCGGGACGGTTTCCAAAGCAGTGGAAGACGGGCAGACTTGTTCTATACATTCTCTTCATCTTAATCTATATAACATAGGAGTGCCAGACAGACTCGTGCTCATCATACGAGACTTCTTGTCGAACCGTTCGTTCCGATATCGAGTTGAGGGAGTTCGCTCTCGCCTCCGTCACGTAACAGCCGGAGTCCAGCAAGGCTCCGCGCTCTCCCCGTTACTGTTTAGATTGTATATCAACGATATATCCCGGTCTCCGGAGACCCATCTAGCGCTCTTCGCCGATGACACGGCTATCTACTACTCGAGTAGGAAGAAGTCGTTGTTGCATCGGCGACTCCAGACCGCAGCAACCACCATGGGACAGTGGTTCCGGAAGTGACGCATCGACATCAACCCCACGAAAAGCACAGCGGTGCTCTTCAAAAGGGGTCGCCCTCCGAACACCACTTTGAACATCCCACTCCCGACTAGGTGCGTCAACACCTCCGCCTCCGCCATTCGCCCAATCATCATGTACGACCAACCCATACCATGGGCCCCGAAGGTCAAATACTTAGGCGTCACCCTCGACAGTAGGATGACATTCCGCCCCCACATAAAGACGGTACGCGACCGTGTCGCCTTCATACTAGGACGTCTCTACCCGATGATATGCAGGCGAAGTAAAATGTCCCTTAGAAATAAGGTGACACTCTACAAAACTTGCATAAGCCCCGTCATGACCTATGCAAGTGTAGTGTTCGCTCACGCGGCCCGCACTCACTTAAAATCATTCCAAGTTATTCAATCTCGTTTTTGCAGGATAGCCGTCGGAGCTCCGTGGTTCGTCAGGAACGTCGACCTCCATGACGACCTGGACTTAGAGTCCATCAATAAGTATCTTCAGTCGGCGACGATGCGCCACTTCGATAAAGCGGCACGACACGAGAACCCTCTTATCGTGGCCGCCGGTAACTACATTCCCGATCCTGCGGACAGAATGGAAAGCAGTCGACGTCGCCCCAAACACGTCATTTCTGATACTCCCGATCCACTAACTGTGCTTTTAGGTACCTCAAGCACCGGTCATCGTTCTCGTCGAACCCGTCGCTTGTGACGAAGGGCTCGACGAGTAAATTAACCCTCAGACACAGCCTACTGAGTTTCTCGCCGGATCTTCTCAGTGGGTCGATCCGGTGGTAGATTCTTCGAAGCCCGGCTCTTGCTAGGGTTCGTGTTAGCAACGTCATCAGACTTGAGCCCCGTGAGCTCACTTACTAGTCAAGGCGACGCTGATATAGCTCAAGGCTATCAGTTAGGTAGGAAAAACAAAGCGCTTGGTCATTCGTGTCCGAGCCGTCGTGCAGTACGGATCTATCTGTAACGTTGTTACGCTCCCCGTGAAATAAACGCAGCTCACCAAGTTCTCGTGAAGTTTTGTTTCGGAAGCCCAAACATGAGTCATCGTCAAGAAAAGTAATAACTGTGAGGTCAGCCAAAACTGACGTCACACTTTTTAAAAACATTACGGAGGATGCTCCTCCGTCATTGTCCCTCCTCCGTCATATATTATCTATATATTAATACGTGAAGCATGACTTTGTACCCCTTTTTATGAAAATTACGCGGACGAAGGAGTATGAAATTTCTCATACTTATAGAGAATATAGAGAAGTGCAGAATGTTAATTTTTTTTTTAATTATGCATAAAAAGTCATTAAATCAATAAAGAAAACATTACACACACTATCATGTATTGTATTTGACACGACACATATACACACACATATACTCTGCGTCTATTGTCAAACTTTTGTTATTGAAAGTCTGTGATTAAATTGAAAATAAATTAATATTGTATGCCTTTAAAATTATTTATATATAGTGTAGTTTTGGCGAAATCTATGATTATATTAAAAAAATCTAAGTGTTCGACAATAGAACCATAATAATGTTTATAAAGAAAATTTCAATTAATTATAGTCGAATTTCGACTACTGCGGGACCTCTAGTTTATATTAATTTAATGACTAATTTATGTGTATTATCTATGATTATTAACTTATTTCACGAATACCGTATTAGGTTTAACTCGTTTTCCCGTTTTATCGAAGTATGTTAAGATCTCAGGATATATTCACGACATACGAACTGTGACCGAAATGATTGAAATGATCGAATCTTTATAACCCGATCACTGTACGAATGGGTCACGATCGATCCGGGTCATGGAAAACGATTGACCGGCACAGGTCTAATCCATATTCAGCGAGTTTGTTTCATTTTCTCATCATATTTGAGTCGTCTATTATCAAAGGTGGCAATCTGTGCATTTGGACAAAAAAATGTTATTGATATGTCAATACAGATTGATTTGAATATAATCGTCTCCTTCAAAGAATACGGTTCAAAACCTGCATTAAATAAAGGTTAATACTTAACCTGTTATTTATCTAAGATGTCGTTCAGAAGAGTTTTGTGACTGCCAATGGAATACAAAGTCAATAATTCGTTTTTCTGATTTACCAATAATTGTCCAAAAGTCACATTGCCGGCTTTGATAATAGTCGACTCAT